TTTTTTTTTTTTTTTTTTTTTTAAATATGAAATCTATTGTCAAATTGGTTTCCATACAACACCCAGTGCTCATCCCAACCGGTGCCGTCCAATATCCATCACCTACCCTACCCTCCCTCCCTCCCCCCATCAACTCTCAGTTTATTCTCAGTATTTAAGAGTCGCTTATGGTTTGCCACCCTCCCTTTTTTTTCCCCTTCCCCTTCGAGTCTCCTAAGTACAGCAGTCATGGCCTTCAAACATTTTGTTCACTTATCCCATAAAAGAACTTTGGAAAAAAGTAATCCTTTGAACATTTAAGGTTGAGAAGTGAGATACTAAGTTTAAATACAATTATTTTTATAAATAGGTTAAAAAACATTTTATAAGATGGAAGATGACCAATTACTAGGAATAAATATTTGGTGACATGATTTTAACCAATTCATTAAATAAGGCATACTAAATCTGAAAGTCATTGTGCAAAACTTTTACTCATGGGCCTTAGCCAGTGTATCTTGAAAATGTTTTAGTTCTGGAAAAATCCCAGTTACATTTAAAAAATTACATGAGGCACGAATACACTTGAGCGGGTCTTCACCCTCAGAGGGGCCAGGAGGTGTCAGGGCCCCTTGCTGAGGGCAGGTGAGGGGGCTGTGCTTTCCTTCTGTGAAGTGGGGAAGGGTGTTGTGAATTCAGTCATGTTCTTAGTGTTGGAAAATACAGATATTGAGGATCTGGAAACGGATTCCCTCAGAACTGCCAGCTTGCTCCTTGGAAAGTGGATCTGTGTACCCCACACCAGAGACCACCACTGCAGAGGATGTGATTCCTCCCCTTCAAGAGTTCAGGGCAGGCCCCAGGGGGCTAGAACCCCAGAAGGATATGGTTGTTAGTGAAGAAAGGAACTTCCATGTGCGCAGGGGAGGGTGTAGGTTAGCTTCCCCAAAGGCCCACCTCTGACAGAGTTCCTGACTGTCCCCTGTCACTATACCCCCAGCTCACACACCTTCTGTTTCACAGCGGGTATGTTAGGCTCGCTCTCTCTCTCTCTCTCTCTCTCTCTCACACACACACACACACACACACACACACCCCATGC